TTGAGTTTCTGATTTATCATGCAAAAGATATACCCACGTAGTATGTGTAAAATCGTCCACGATGGTTAAGAAATAATGGGCTCCTAAGAGAGATGGAGTATGATACCGTCCCCATAAGTCACAATGTACTAGTTCAAATGCACGTGAAGCTTTATTGTCGCTTAAAGGAAATGGAATTCGTGTCTGTTTTGCACGATGACATATATCACAGTACTCAACATAATTACTATTACGGTCAAAACCACATACTCCAGATAAGTACAATACGTTTTTCTCAGAAAGATGTCCTAGACGCTTGTGCCACAATTCCTCTGTATTCTTCTTGGCGGCCATTGCATGAGCACTATGTGTGTTTCGCAAATAGTACAGGCCATCATTGAGATCACCCAGTCCAATCAGTGTCTGCCGGGTGGGGTCCTGTATTACACAAACATTCAAATAGTAAGTAATAGCACAACCCATATCTTCACTTAACTTTCTTGAAGATATCAAATTACATTTTAAATTTGGAACATAAAGAACATCTTTCAATTTGATATGTCTGTTAATCATGATGTCCCCTATTTTATTCACTTTCAAAGAATCCCCATTTGGGATGACGACTCTTTCATCCATTCCAGCCTCTCGAACATTCTCAAAGACTTTAAGATTACTAGAAACGTGGTGTGACGTACCACTATCAATAATCCAATTTGATAAGCGAACCAAGGAAAAATTCTTACCAGACAGTGCATCATGGATCATGTTTTCTGAATCACCTGTACCCAAAAGAGGCATTAAACGATCAAGTTGGGCTTGCGTGAGGGACGACATCTGTGCAGTGTTGTTTGATGCTCCCACTTCTTCAGTGACGACACCTGCTCGGCCTTGGATGGCATTGTCCGTAGCTCCTTTGCCTCCGCGATTTCCATTGCCTCGTCCTCGACCACAGCCTGCTTTACCTCCATTTTGATTCTTCCAGTGTTCTGGGTACCCGATGATTTCAAAACAGCGGGATTTGTCATATCCAGGTCTCTTGCAGTGAGTACAAACTATGGGTAGATCAGCAAAGTCTCGCCCTTCTCTTGTTTGACCCCTTTGATCTAATTTACCTTGGCTTGCAAAGGCAGCAGCTTGTATCCTTGGATCTTCGCGCTGCCTTGCCTTCAATTGTAATTCTTCTCTTGATATCATGGCAAAGCAACAAGTGAGTGAAGGCAGTGGGTCCATGCTTATAATGTTTGATCTAACGGTACCATATCGATCATCAAGGCCCATTAAAAATTTATAGACCTTTTCATTCTCTCTTTCTTCCAATATATTGATCAACGTTTTGCACGTCGATCCGCATACACAAGTGTTGGTTTTAGTATACTAATCTAACTGATCCCATATTCCTTTTAGTTTAGCA